GCATGCATGTATTTCTAGTCTAATAAATACTCACGTAAATAAAATAAAGACGTGATTATTTGTTTTATAGAGAATCACGTCTTCTGGATGCAGTTGAATCAGGCCGTTTTCAGGAAGTAAAACGGTCGATTCAATCTGGCGCTGATGTTAATAAAAGAAGTTTGTTTGGCGAGGCAGTGCTTCACTCAGCTGCTGAACATGGTTCATTGGAAATTGTCAAATATTTAGTTGAACATCATGCTGATGTTAATGCAAAAGATCATTTTGGTAGGACAGCGCTTCACTATGCTGCTGAACGTGGTTCATTGGAAATTGTCAAATATTTAGTGGAACATCGTGCTGATGTTAATGAAAAACGTTTGTTTGACAAGACAGCGCTTCACTATGTTGCTGAACGTGGTTCATTGGAAACTGTCAAATATTTAGTTGAACATGGTGCTGATGTTAATGCAAAATGTTGGTTGGATAACAAGACAGCGCTTCACTCAGCTGCTAAACATGGTTCATTGGAAATTGTCATATATTTGGTTGAACATCATGCTGATATTAATGAAAAATGTAGTTTGGGCAAGACAGCGCTTCACTATTCCGTTCAACATGGTTCATTGGGAATTGTCAAATGTTTAGTTGAACATCGTGCTGATATTAATGCAAAACATTGGCTCAGTAACAAGACAGCGCTTCACTCTGCTGCTGAACAGGGTTCATTGGAAATTGTCAAATATTTGATTCAATGTGGTGCTAATGCTAATGCAGAATGTTCGTTTGGCATAACAGGGCTTCACTCTGCTGCTAAACGTGGCTCATTGGAAACTGTTAAACATTTCGTTGAATCTGGTGCTGATGTTAATGAAAAAGATCGTTCAAAGAAGACAGCGCTTCACTATGCTGCTGAACGTGATTCATTGAAAATTGTGAAATATTTATTTAAACAAGGTGCCGTTGTTAATGCAAAAGATTCGTCAAAGAAGACAGCGCTTTTCTTTGCTGCTGAACATGGTTCGTTGAAAACTGTCAAATATTTAGTTGAACATGGTGCTGATATTAATGCAAAAGATTGGTCAAAGAAGACAGCGCTTTTCTTTGCTGCTGAACATGGTTCGTTGAAAACTGTCAAATATTTAGTTGAACATGGTGCTGATATTAATGCAAAAGATTGGTCAAAGAAGACAGCGCTTTTCTTTGCTGCTGAACATGGTTCGTTGAAAACTGTCAAATATTTAGTTGAACATGGTGCTGATATTAATGCAAAAGATTGGTCAAAGAAGACAGCGCTTTTCTTTGCTGCTGAACATGGTTCGTTGAAAACTGTCAAATATTTAGTTGAACATGGTGCTGATATTAATGCAAAAGATTGGTCAAAGAAGACAGCGCTTTTCTTTGCTGCTGAACATGGTTCGTTGAAAACTGTCAAATATTTAGTTGAACATGGTGCTGATATTAATGCAAAAGATTGGTCAAAGAAGACAGCGCTTTTCTTTGCTGCTGAACATGGTTCGTTGAAAACTGTCAAATATTTAGTTGAACATGGTGCTGATATTAATGCAAAAGATTGGTCAAAGAAGACAGCGCTTCACTATGCTACTGAATGGGGTTCATCGGAAATTGTCGAGAATTTAATTGAATATGATGCTTATCTTAAAAAACAAGATGAGAAAAACAAAAGAGCTCTTCACTATGCTGCCACTAAGTTGCTGTTAATGAAATTAGATGTTAATGTACAAAACGTGAAGGATTCGATACGTCGTAGTGATGACACCAAAATTCTCGACCTTGAGTTGAAGAAGTCCATTAAACCTGGTCAGAAAATTCAGATTTTGAAAGCAATGGATAACGAAAAGTTGACAAAGGTAATATATTTTTATTGCGATATACCATAACAGGTGGAAAAGAAAACAAAGTCCATATAGTACTTTCGAAAATGGCTGGCAGTCTGGTTAGTAACATTTTCAAAACCTGAGTCAATTAAGGTGGCTCTCTACAGTTTTCTAAAATTTTAACTATTTTAGGTAACCTTCGTTTTCAACCAAATTTATATTGAATACACTTA